TTCAGCAGCGGTCGGCGGGCCTTCACGCAGCCATTTGCAACTTATTACCTTGGGATTTACCGCTCGGGGTACTTTATAGCAATGTAAAAATGTCCTGACTGAATGGTATACTCATGCAATGGTTATCAGTAGTACCGAAGGCTGAATATCCGGCTGAAGGGGCATAATGGCTATAGACAAGCCCCTCTGAGCGTCAGAAGTATACCAAAGGTATTTGCATTGGTCTTAACCCATTTTAGCACCCGTTTATATGTGTTCTGAGTGAGCTCGACGAGGTAAGTGTCGAGACGCTCTCTACATCGCCCGCCGACCGCTGCTGAAAGGCTTCAGCCACCGTCCGCTTAGTCAGCCTCGGGGATCTCGGCGACGACATTTGTGCCAGCCGTCCTATAGCGTTCTCCTCCTCTTGTTCGTTCTGTATCCGGTAATAAATTAAAAATAGATTTGTATTACATAACACTGCACGTGCGCCCTAGTAAAGGAGGAGCGAGAACGCTAAGGACGGATGGTTTAGGAGCCTGGGTCGCCATTGTAATCAGACCACTTTCTCACTCCGCTAGCCACATTGGTAGTACAGCCGCTTGCAGATCGATAGACCATCAATTCAGAGAACCACGTATAGTCGGAGTGGGTCGGAGTGGGTGCCAGGGACGTCGGAAGAAGGTAGAGAAGTCCAGATGGCCTGATTTCTGTCTCTCGGGGACTTGAAATTGGCTGTCCGACGTGGTCCGACTGTAAATGATTTTTGAAAAGTGGGCCCATCGATCTGCAACTGGCTGTAACAGTTGGGAGCAAATTTTTGGAAAAGCAGGCTTCGGGACCGGTATAGATGTCGGACGATTACTTGCCCGTGCCGCGCGTAAGATGACTCTGGCTTTGGGCGTCTCAGCGTGCAAAGCGCTGAAGTGGTGAACATTCACATCATCCACTACTGAACAAAGAAGACAGGTCGCGGTTACTTCGGTTTACCCAGACAAGCGTGTTCAGTAATATGGGCGGGGACGACTATTAAGCTTGAGTTAGACGCGGGGACGATCGTACTCGGGCGTGACAGGATAGTCACGTTCGGTAGATCTGTACACCGAGTACGGAGCCACCTAGTCAGGCTACTACCTACATATTTCAATTCGGTCGTGTCAGCGACCCCATGACCTAAGGTGGAAATACGCCGTAGACGGAAGGAAACCAAAGAATAGGTGCCACCGCCAGTTGCGTGGAAAAGGGGGCCGTCTTAGTACACATATACAATGGAGCCCCTCTATCAGAGCCTCATAAAGTTGCGACGCCACATATTTAACGGCGAGGAATGGTGCGTTGCTTGATAGCCGGCCTTGACTCGGCAAAAAAGCGGGACGACTCTGATTGGCTGCGGGACGCTCCAGGTCGACGAACAACCTCGAGCGACAAGTACTAGCAGGTACTAGCACAAAGACCGTTGGAAATCTGATCGCATCCTTCATTCCTACTGGCAATGATATCTGGTCTATGTTTACCTCAGAGATACGCTGATAGCATTTTGAGCGGCCAGTGGGGCCCCAAAGCCCCCACTCGCTGTATCCGGATATCCGTCCCGCCCGCGGCGGCATCTGACGAAACCCTATCGTCTCCCTCCAGCTCGGAAGTATATTATGGGCGGTATCCATGTACTGCATTGGTATATGTATCCATGGCATGCCCAACCTTCCGCACCGTACCATAACGTTCGCAGCGCTAGCACTGTCATCGCGTTCAGTTCTATCCCTCAGGCTCACGGAACGCACCAGGGCGTCTCAGTCTACGGGTGACTCTGAATACATGCTCCAGTCCCGATTCAACTTCACGAAACACCTCAGCGACGCCTCGTCAGTCTCACTTCCCACCTTCGTTGCACACCACTGATCAGTCGCTTTGGTCATACCTTCAGGAGCGCGCTATGGTTGTACACTTCCATAACCAGCGCTGTCCTCTGTTTTTCAGTTCTTCTAGTCATAATCACCGTTTCTTTCCGCCCACTCTCTCGAGTTCAGTTGGATCGCGTGAGTTTCCGGCTGGTCTGTTATTCCCTCCTTGCCAAGTAAGTACCATTGCGGAGCTTTATGGTAGATATTCTTCCTCACGAAGGCTGAAGCACTGCATTTGGTATTGCTAACGCTGTGGGCGGGTCAATTACGGGCCCGACGCCTGCCTGCGGGCTTGCGATATGGATCCTGCAGGTCTGCTTATATCTCTGTATTGCGACCCTCCATGTACTAATGCTGTGACATCTCAACGTAGCTAACATTGCAACTTTCGAGCCTCCTCAATTTCTGCATCGCACTGAATATGCAGTGAGTCCTCCCCACCCCACCTCTCCTCGTTTGTGCGGTTGGGTTGAATGGATTTCGACCACAGGCTGGTGATCGTCCACGGAGTCGACGGACGCAAAGCCGAGAAATATTACGTCCTGGGCTCGGGCATGCTGAGCCTGTGCGTTACCATCCCGCCGTACGCAGCCAGTCAATACGGGTCAGTCTGTCCAGCGCTGTTGTTATTCTGGAAAATAATCCGAGAGTCCTAGATGGGACGGGCTGGTCAAGGAATGCTGGTATGCGAACGACAATACGCACCAGCGACTCGTGTGGCAGGTACATACATGTCCTCTCGGCTCGCGTGGTCCTCCGAATACTGACTGTCCTGTAGATTAGCACGCAGTTGTTGTGGACGGGCCTCACTGTCATTGGTGAAGTCTGCTCCTCTATGATCCTGATCACGTTTCTGTGGCGACACATTGTGCGCTTCTTCCCTTCTCTGCTCTGCCTATCTTTCGAACTCACCGTCCGTCGTTATCCATTCTATAGTTCCGTCGCAAGCGGATCGTGCAATCCGTCAACTCCATCGCTAATCACTCCACTGTGGCCTCCACGAGTGCCGTAGGATCTCAGGCTGCTAGGACTGCGGGAGGGAAAGGAACACCCCGCGCGGACTCGGTGTTCAGCAGGCGCGGGCGGCAGGCGGACCACGTGCGAGCGTACAAGGGGATCGTCATCCGTATTGGTGAGCGTCTCCCCCACCCTGAATGCGTGCAAGAGGTGGTGTTGATCGGAGAATGTGACGCAGCGTTGTACCCGCTCGTGTCGTGCATTATCAACTTGACGAGTATCGTTTGTGTGATTCATACCACGGTGAGCGGGGGCATGCATGACCGGACGGTGGGTTCTTGTTTCCTCTCCAACACTAGATACCGCCTGACAGCCCATATATTCAGGATTACAACTTTCTCCTGCTCAGTACGCGCTCGTCTTTAGATCATGGTCAGTGGTACTGATACCAGTTTGGCTAACAGGCGACCTCCTGTATGGGGCAAGAGGAATTGTGTACGGCCTCCTCGCAACCACCGATCCGGTCAGTCTCTCCACAGCCATAAAAGTCCACTGTACCTCACTGACGCTCATGCGGAATCCAGGCCCTCATCCGCGCGGTACGCTCGTTCCTCCACCGCGACTCTAAATCATCCAGCTACGGACCAGCCGTCGTCCGTGTCGAGCTCACGACAACCACCTTCCGCGACCCACCGCAGCCTGACGAACTCGAGTTCGAGGCACAATCCCCTTCAGAAGAGGTGGGCAGCCTAAGTATGGGGTACAAGTACCCACCGCAGGTGGGCATGGGGTCTGGGTCAAAGTCGCCAGCGCTGGGGGACAGAAGGAGGTTTTCTGAGGCGATGGGAGAATCAAGGGAGGGGGACACGGACTTGGAGGCAGGTGGAGTGGGGGAGACATCTTTGGATTTGGAGCGGGAGGCGTTCCAGAAGCAGATATGATGAGGTATACTAGACGGAAGGGTAGAAGTAAAAATGATACCTGTATAATATTATCTTTTTTCGGCTCATTGGCACTGAAAAGCACAAAGCTGCAGACTCGATACGCCACAGGCCACAGCCCTTGTTTTCCTTTTTGGGTAAACCCCTCATTAGCGGTCTATTTTTAGCACCAATGCACTTTAGACGCCATCAGTTGGTTACCGCGTCCGCCAGCTCTGTTGCAGATTATCACTTGTCTTGGAGCCTGAGGCTTGAGGCCGAGGCATCCCCCCTCTCCTCGTTTCCCCCCAACCCGACCAGCAGGCCTGCTGTGTATATTTCTTTCCTTGTCAACTCCATTCTTTCCTAGTCCGCATTGCTGCACGGCTGGTAGCCATGCCTGAGATATCTTCTTCGGGCAAGAAATTCCTGTCAGCGTTAGGTGAGCTATCATCGAATGGAGAAATGAATTGGAGCGCGCGAATAACATTGCGTGCGGGGACGCGGCGTAGGGGTTATCATAGTGCTGGATGTGGCGGCTGTCGTGCTTTCAGCAAGGATTAACCAATTCCAGGAGTTCTTCTGTGAGTATTCAGATCCAACGGCCTGTTCCATTCATGTCGTGTGCCACTCTAGTTATGGCGGATTTGTTCCCGCTCGGTCTGTCCATAGCGACCCTGATCCTGCTGTTCTTCATGTGCGTACAACTTTCCTCTCCTTGCCTTGGTCCGTCTAACACTCAGGCCAACCACACCCCAGGTTCCTCTTCAACTTCGCGGTGATCAACTCCTTCCTTGTCCGCGCTCCCTTCCAAATTGGCATCCTCTTCATCGCCAGCGTCTTCTGGCTCGGTACGCCACCCCCCTTTCGTGCCCTGCTCACGGCTCACGTATACATCACAATGCAGCCTTTAACGCCTTCTCTACCTCGCGTTGGGCGCACATCACCATGTCGTGCGGCTCCATCCCCGGCGAGTACGCCGACGCGCGCGCGTGGTGCCGGGACGTCCAGGGTCTCAAGGCCGTCGTGTGGATCGAGTGGGTCATGCGTGCGTCCCGTTGCCTTACCCATTTTCCCTTTCCCCATCCCCATCTTCGCCCTGCAGTCACATTCACCGCGTTCCTCACCTTCCGGCACGCCATCACCCAGCAGAACCGTGGGCATACGCACATCTGGACGCAGCCCCTTGTGCGCTACCACCCGCGCCACGGCGCGCGTCGCGGCGACAGCGAATTCCTCCAGTTCGAGAAGGTTGGCGTCGGCATGGCCTTCTAGAACTTCTGCTGCGGGGCGGGGCGGGTCCCCGCGGGCTGGATCGTTGTTTGCCTTTACCTTCGCACGGGCTGTTTTTTCCCCTTGCTTGTTTGCTCGCGAGATGCTGTACTTTGTATTTCATGGCGGAAAGTATATCTTGTATCAGAGCAGTCAGCCAGAAACTTCGCAAGCAGCCGGATCACTGATGGCCCGAATCATCAAGTAGGAGAGGGTAGCAGAGCCTCTCCGGAGCACGGACTCAACTGGTGACGGTAAAGTACCCTTACGCCCTTGGTCCCTGCATGCTGGCTTGCTCTAGATACCAAGCATAATCCGGCGACGGAGATGGTGAGAGAAAATAATGCATAGCTGCTCGACCAACAAACGAGACACAAAGAGCACATGTGCTAAGAAGAGGAATTATAAAGAAGAGTTGACCACGGGCTACCGAGCCGGTAGTTTCTCATCCTCGTCGCTATGATCTTGCTCGACTTGACTCATGCTCTTGGACCAATCAATGAAACTATTGAAATGAGAGGGCAGCGCTGCGGCTCCAGGATACATCCGGCGCCTCAGATTAATCCTGGCCTCTCGCACAGCTGGCTCTGCCTTAGGGTCATCTCTCAGCTCGAAGCCATCGTGCACCCCGAGGGAACGTCTTAAGAGGCTCTCATATGCTCGGACATCCTCCCCCTTCTCCGAGTTGATGACCCCAAATGTGTCCGACGAGATCTGTGCACACCATATGTCGTACGCCGTGAACGGGCGTGAGCTAGGTATACGACTCGAACGGCGCTCGGGAGGCTGCACAACAGTGAGCCCGGCTTTCCACGACCCCAGGGAAAAGACCATGCGGATCACGGGCAACGGCGAGTCCTTGCGCGTGAAGAGCCTGACACGACGCGGATCCATACCCACGAAGGTCGTCCGTTGCACTTTGTGGGAGTACGACCGGTCGTTCTTCACCTGGATTAGTATAGCGGAGATGTTCTGTGCTTCGATGGGAGCGTCCTTGAACACGAATGGGATGACGATGTCAACCCCCCGATGGTTGTCTGCACACAGGATAGCAGCACGACGAAGAACCAGGCGCCACAGATATTGAACATTGATCACGTCGTAGTCTTGAACCTTGACGAAATGATTGAAGGCCATGCGAGCGTCCTTGAATGTCGTAGAGAAGTCCAGGCATTCATCCTGGCGAGACGTGGAAGGCAGAGCATCTCCGATATTTGCGGACTCGTGCAATAGCGTTTGGAGGAATTCAAGTACCGAGAAGACCGGGGAGTGGTTGCGAGGGCCATATGCAAGCATATCGCGAGCTTTCATGAGGAGCAGCATAGCGGCGAGTTCGCCCCGATCTCCACGATGCACGCCCCACACGTCCAAGTGCTCAGACATCAGTTGGGCTTCGCTCCGGTCCTTCAGTTCTTGACCCGCGGCCTCCGCAAGCAGTGGTTCCGATGGAGCCACGGTCACCATAGACTGAAATCCCGGAGTCGCTGCAAGGCATATCCGCATGTGCCTCTCGACTTGCTCGCTCTCCACTTCCCGCTCACGAGGATTCTTGGGCCGGAATTCAAACGCGTAGCGAAGCGCAAGGCAGGCCAGGAGACCCTTGTCACTGTCGCGTGTTGCCGAAACAGATGTACCCAACAACTTTGCTCTTGCGAAATCCAACAATTCGTCCTTTACTTTTGCGCTGCCAAAGTCGTAGCGGGAACCGAATCTGTCCTAACCTGTCAGAAGAGGAATTGAAAGGGCACAAAACTTGCACGCACAAAGGGCGACCTAGACGACACATGAAGTCAATCTTTGTGACCTTCTCCAGTGTATACTCCCCCTCGACTATCTGTGGGGCGAGTTCATCGAACACAATCTCAGTTATCGCAGGAAGCACTTTGTAATCGGGTGCCTCCAACACGACTTGAGCAGATCTGTGCTGATAAGAGTCAGGGGAGAAGTCTTGAAATCTCCCCAACGTCGAGAGGAAGAGCGAGAAGATGGGAAGACCTTCCAGGGAGCGAAGAGCACATCTGATTTCAGAGAAGATGGACCAGCTGTGCTTAGGTGGCGTTTGAGGAAGGTCATATGCCTCGTCGAAAGATAAGACCACATAAGGTTTTACGAGGCCTCTAGGTAGCTTTGATAGAGGTAGCTTTTCACCGGAAACAACCTCCAGTAATCTGTGTGCAGCCTTTGTTGATGTTTGGCCCTCATCGTTCACTGTTATGCCTATGAGCTATTGCAAGGCATATGACAAAGGTGGCTGACATGTTGCCCCTCTGCGCGGGGAGCCTTGACCGGCTCCATTCAACATGGGCACACTTGCATTGGCAAACTGAGTAAATCACTATAACAGCGAGAGTGTTGGGATCGATTGTATTGCACTTACATCTGTGGCTTCTTTGATCACGTCACTATAAAATGATTTGCGGTAGTCATTTACCGAATTAAAGGTCTGCCCATCCACCATGCAGCTACGAAAAGCAGAAGCAAGTCGCCGCAGTCGCGGCTCACCCCGCAGGTTCCCCAGATCTTCTCTATCTACGATATCTTCCAGGCATTTGGAAGTCACCGTGAGCAATCCCCAAAGGAATCCATCTACACGGCCATCGCCCTTGGATATCTTGAGCAGCCAGTCTCTCAGGTCTGCATCCGCTGGCGGGAAGCCTGAGGTGTGGTATGAATCTCCCACCTATGCACATAACGAGGTGATCATACCTTCACTGCGATGATCACGCAAGCACATGTAGATAACAATGACATCTTTTCCCAGTTCATCGACCATTCGTGACTTGCCAGTGCCAGAGGAATTGACAATTGTAGCATATCTGGCATATAACATACGTCCCGGGTGCAGGAAACTGGCAATAGTCTGGCGCAGCACAGATGCAGCTTGGCCCTTAAACTGGCCTCCCCAGCTTGCAATTGTGGCTAGAGAGTCTGTGAGCAAGACACAATGTAATGCGTGAGATGGAATGCTAGAGCCTACCAGCCACTTGCTCCGGGTCGCTGCGCTGCAAATCAGACGTATCCGTGTCGGTAGATCGAGACATTTCTGCATCGATTGTCAGCGGATACTCAGGAGGCAGACGAACAGCGCACCCCTAAGCTTCAGGCGGAGGTCCTTGAATGAGCGGTTCTCCAGACCAGCCTCAGCAAGTCTTTGAATCTCCGGATCTTCCGAATACTTCGCAAAAACGACGCTGCTGGTATCTTGATATTCCGACAGGTCAGATGCAACTTTCCCCACCAGATAGGACAGCAGTAGTTGCATCCAAAGGCCCGGCAACTGATTCACGTCCTGCCTCTGATCCCAGATCAGTTGTATAGTTCGATCCTGAAGGACTCTCGCGTCCCAACTCGCATGCATCTCATCCGAGATACCATCCGCTGGGTTAGATGAACCGGCAAAAGCTGACTCGGGTGATGGGAAGGACATCCTGGGCGATTTGCTTGCTACCAGGTCTGGGGAGGCCGAGGAGGCAAATCTCTTTGCCATGGCGGAGCACGTACAAGTTACGACCACAGGTTGGACTTGAAATTTTGTAGCAACTGTTGGGCCCGGGCCGAAGTCAGGCTGAAGCTGGCGCGACGTCGCCAAGTCGTCGCCATTGTCCCAGTCACGTGCATCCACCTTCGGCATCCTCCTGCGACATACCGATATGTCTTCACTCTGATGTACTTACGACCAAATACGGATGCCTGCAGTGTCCACGTAGCAGGTAGGGATGATACAACGTATATTTCTTACATATTAAATTTCTAGGCCAACCCGGGGACGAAGCCAGTCCTAGCCAGGTGCCTTCCAGTACGTCTTGACTCTACCGTTGCTCCTGAGGCACGACAACAGGTATCTCCTGACTGGTGCGTTGGATATATTCTACTGTGCATACATATAGAGCGCCAGTGGCGGGCTCCCTAATCCATGTCCACGTACGTCGCCGCGTCCTCCGTCTGCACTGTCGTCACGGCATCACCACATGCCCATGCGCATGATCCAAGGGTCCCTTGTGCATCTGGCGCGCGGCGGACGCTCACAACAGGGACGGAGGAGAACTACGCAGGCCCTACGTGCGCGCGGAGTTCGACCGGGTGGGTGCACGCGGCGGCGCACGGCTGTGAGCTGTGATACGAGATGCGCAAGGTCCGCCCATTTGCCACGCCCACGCGCGGCAATCGCAATTCCTGTCAGGATTCCGACAAGCCCTGCAAAGACCTTCCTGACTACCTCAGCCTGCCTTGCGGCTCTTACCTTCTTCGTGGATGGACTAGCAGACCGCCTCCCCGCCGGGCTCTCCCCGCGAGCCGGATACGGGAACATCCTCAAATTCGGAGCTGCGACGCTGCAAGAACCTTGCTCGAACTGCCAGAGGACCACAGTGGCAGCCAGCACAGCCCGCCCCTCTGCTCACTGGTGACTCGTCCCGCCGTCCCCAATGGCCATCAGGGAAATGACAATGGACTTGCCGGTGGGGAGTGGGCCTATTGGTCTTATTTCAGACTTCTGAGCTACTTACAACTTTTGAGCTACAACTTTTGAGCTACTTACGACTTTCGAGTTACTTACAGGCTCCTTAAGGGCCCTATAAGGCGGGATAAGGCGGAATAGGCCCACTCAACTCTTATTCAGGCTTATTTCCAAAGAACGTACGCCATAAGGGCCAAAAAGGAGTTTGCTGTTTTCCTGATGTCACTGGCGCTCAAGAACATCACTCAGCAAGCCCCTTGTCGAAACCCCAGGCTGCTCGCGTGTGCGGGAGTTCTCGCTGGCTTTGTTGCTCGGTCCTGGCTCATCTGGAGCCGCCGACCGAGGGGTGCACCTCGGGCTCCCTTCTGTAGTCAAAACATGTATCGGATGTGAACAAGAAAGTATACGGTCATGGTTGGCGCAACGAGCGTCGCTGTCCTCCGCGTAGTTTTCAGTGAGTGCCATCAGCAGTCAGACAAGTGCATTCGGCGTCAAAACGTCGAAGTACGATTCCTCGCTGCGAGTGCGAATGTTGGGCATGTTTCACATAGCTGAATGGTCTCAAACCAGCCTTCGAAGCAGAGTAACGTGCCCTCAGACCCTGCATCTAGGTAGTGTATGGTCCAGATAAATAAGCGAGGTAGACGTATTCGAACCGAGGACGATGTACAACCAACCAACCCAGGAACAGGTAATGGATTATCATATAGCGAGAGCAGCAACAAATCCAGGCAGAACACGAAAGAAGCCAAGGATACACTTTCTAACTGGGACTTAAGCGAGGAAAGGGAGAGAATGACGACGACGACGGGGAATAACTACGTATACATGATTGCACCGACAATATGCAGCATCAGCACTCAAGGGGCATGGAACAGCATGTCCGTGAACGAAAACGAATTTTAGGTATGGATAAGCAGCTTCTCGGAGTGGGATGGGACGTCCTCAGATGCTCGGGTAGCTCGCACTCTCGCTGAGGTGCTCGTTCGCAGGGTTGTACGTGAACCCCTTGAACTGGTCCTGCACTGTCTCCGACAGGTGCCCGCCCTCCACGACCGAGTCCTGCGGCGCCTCGTTGGTGAACTCGGTGTCAAAGTTCGCCACGTCGAGCACGCTCTCCACGCTCGGCTTGAACGGCGGTTGGATCTTCTTTGCCAGAAGCCTAGTAGAGTACGATGTAAGTTTATCGCCCGGCGTCACGGGGTGCACACGCACTTTTGCCAGTCAATATATCTCGAGAAAAACGGGTGTCGCTTGATTTCCTCAGCCCCGTTCGCGCCCAGCCGCTTCGTCGGGTCACGCTGGAGGAGACCCGTGATGATGCTCATCGCCTCCCGGGAGATGTCGGGCGGGAACTGCAGCGGGTCATTGAGGATCCGCTCATACATCACGTTGACGTTTTCGTCGTAGAACGGAGGCAGGCCGCTCTATACAGCGCTCCATGGTCAAGGTCAATGAGTCAAGTGCGAGACTTGCGCGTACCATCATCTCGTACAGGAGCACGCCCAGCGTCCACCAATCGACGGTCTTCGTGTAGCCTTGGTTCAGCAGTAATTCGGGTGCGATATACTCTGGTGTTCCACAGAATGCTGGGAACCGAATTACTTGAGTAAGTAAGAATGGGATGCGCAATGGTACGCACTGTTCGTCTTCTCGGTCTCGGACATATTGAGCTTGCACAGCCCGAAATCGCAAAGCGCGATATGACCAGTGTAATCGAGCAGAATATTCTCGGGCTTGAGATCACTGTACAGCGTTCCTATTTTAGCTGATGACTTGGGCAACATGAAACACGCGTACCGATAAACGACATTGAATCCGTGGAGGTGTTCTAGAGCACATAGTAACTCCGCCGCGTAGAAGCGACTCCTGTCCTCATCGAACTTGCCTTCCCTTTGTAGGTGGTAGAAAAGCTCTCCGCCATTAACTGAACAAATCACTGTTCAACATGCGACCTATCCGCAAGGAACAAACCTACCAAACGACATTACCAAGTACAGCTTATCTGGCGTTTGGAACGAAAACTTGAGCGGCACGATGAACGGGTTGTTCACGAGCGCGAGGACGGTGCGCTCGGCGAGGATGTGTGTGATCTCGCCCGGGCGGCTCGCGATGTGCGCCTTGCGGATCGTCTTGAGCGCGTAGATGCGCTGCGTGTCCTTCTTGCGGACCTGCATCACCTTGCCGAAGCTGCCCTTGCCGATCACCTTGAGCAGGTCGAACGCCTCGATTGTCAGCGGCTCGTTGCGAATAGGGCGGAAGTCGATTTTCAGGTGGAAGGAACCCGAGCCCGCGGTCGCTGTGTACCACTGGTCGGAGGCGTGCTTGAAGGTGCTGCGTGAGTAACGGGGAGGGCATAAGGATTGGGGGACTTACGTGGCCGTCTAGGACGGGCGTCAGGTCGACGCGTGCCATGAGGAGGTCGTCGCCCATATCATCTTGTCCTTGTACGCACTGGGCGGTGCGGAGGTATGCGGACACCGAGACATTTGATGTACGTGAGACGTCGCTGCAAGCAGAGGGGTCAGGAGATTCCGACTGGAAGGAAATGGCTCGTAGCAATCGAAGCAGTGCTTTATGGCGTTGTTCTTATAAGAACTATGCGCTGTGCAGCATAGATTGCCCAGAATCTGTTACGGATCGAGACGACCACAACGACCGACAAGACCAAAGGCAACAGAGATGACACGCACAAGTCAGCCCTGTAATTCCATACAGGATTTTGAAGATCGCCCCCAAGGGCGTCCACCAAGACTTCGTTCTTGTCGAACTCAAGGACGACATAAGGCAGCCACCAATATCGCTTCCGCTGCATGCTCTCGCGATTGCTGGTCGACTTGCGCTGCGAGGGCGCATTCTCCAGAGCTTTCTGAATCACCTCCGGCACTTGCACACCGGGCGCGAGAGACAGTCCACGGCCTAGCAGCACGAAGCTCAGATGTCCCATCCGCGTGGCGTCTCGCGACTGTCGTCACTCACCCGAGAAGATTCGGATAGTCAGCATGCCTGAGCGAAAGTTGGAGTGCCCCTGGTCATTTCCGTTGGGCGGTTTGGGCGTGGTCGGGCGAGACGAGGGCATGGGAGTCACGGACCGGGACTGAGCCCCGTTATCTTTGGCATCTTTCGACTCTATGCGCGAAAAGCACCATCAGCTGGCCGCAGCTATGCCATGAGACGACGCCCCATACGATAACGCTCTGATGGCAGCGCCGCCTCGGACGTATGCACGCACTCTTGGATGTACCGAGCCAGGACATGTTGACGGTCTGCCGAGGGCACGCACGCTAGACTGTGACCAGTGAATAAGAGGCCTTGATGAATGTCGTCGTCGAGGGTGGACGCGACAGAGGAAACGGCGACGGGGACGGTGAGTTGGTAAGAGGAAAGACGGATGGCTATTATAGATCGACTATGCCGGGGTAATACAGTAAGCGTGTACTAGAGATCGGCTTGTAAGTAATGCTTTGATACACTGTATACAACGCTGTCCGCAGCCACCATCTGTCCACTTGACGACGCCGGCGCTGCTGCGTTCGTTCGCTCCGGTAGGACGACAGCCCCCCTTTTCCTCCTCGAACGCTGTCGGCCATTTCTTGCAAGCGGCCCTGCCTTTCTGCTCTTTTTTTCATTTTCTCCGGAAGGACCTCAGGCTGTGTATATCCTGCTGAACAATAACGATATCACCAACTGCAACCTAAGCAGATGATCAATGCTCGAACAGATTAAGATCCGGTCGTTTCGTCCCGCTGATGCCACACAGATGTCATGTTGCGGCTTCCATACATATGTCGGTCGAGCACTGCGGGAAGTAAAGGCGTTTCGGAGCAACGCCGAAGGCACTGCTCAGTAAGTGCCCAAGGCACTTATATTATGAGCCACACCCGCTTGCGCGGCACACTTTACAAGTGCCCGAGACACTCTTTCCTGAGGTGCCCAAGGCACTGATTGGGACATTTTTACTATTACAGCAAAGTGCCCCGGGCACTTTTTAGCAAGGGAGTAGTGCCCTCGGCACTGTAGATGTGTGACCTCGACGTTTCGCTTCAGTGACCTTGGCACTCCTTGTTAGATATCTCGGCACTCTTATGTATACTCAGGTGTTCATAGGAGTAGAGCACATATATATTACTATTTTATATTGACTACATCTGAGTTGACTACGGTCAATAACAGCTCTCACTGGCCTGAAAGGCGGCGCGGTCCCATCATGGCAGCAGTGTCGCCAGCTACTGCAGCATCTAGGTAGTCACCATTCATACGTTGTCTACCTAGCAGAGCACGCGTATAGCGGGCGATGAACGAAGTAGGAGACGAAGACAGACTCACCTACCAAACCCAAACCGAAAGGGCACCACCAGTGTCACTCCCGCTAGGCTGTGCCCTTGCAAAGGAACGTGACGGCGAACCCGGGTCCCTCCGCGCTCGAACAGAATGAGGCGTCCCAGACTCGCCGCCTACACCGCGCGCCTGCGCACCGACGCACACTCCA